AACCCAGGATGCGGAAGCGTCTCTTACGAACCAAATTTCGACTGGACTTAAGACAACTATCCCCTCCCAAATGCGAGGGGTAAACGGGTTTACAGACCTGGCTGTCGTATCCCTTATTACATTGTGGAATTCCACGCGGACAGATGCAGACGCACGCTACTGCAGTCGCTCGGGCCCCAGTAATTGAATAAGGTTCTCGATGCTGGCCTGACCGCAGAGATATCGATGAGAAATTGGTGCAGTTAGAGAAGATCCTCCGACAGACGCCGTCGAACAATGAAGCTTTTAACGCCTGGTGGAGGGATAACATGGATCCCCAGAGACACCAAAGTAGTATGCCCATGACTTTCTTCGTTTCGCAGACGCAGCTGCCAGGCACTTGGGTCAGCAGATGAAGAGAATGTGCTCCCGCATCACTTCGTAGGACTAACAGCGCCAGACCCAATACATCCAATCCTAGTGAAACCGCCGACCGAACTACTGGAGGCAGTGAAACGCACGGCGTGGTACCTGCAGGCGAACAGTTAATACAACTTCCAGACATCATTACCAGCCCCCCCCCGCATGAAAATGGAGGGATATTCGCGGACTGGTGGAGATTACGGCGTCCGTGTAATAACGGACTAGAGCCGATAAAAAAAGGTCGAGGAAACAACAATAAACGATTCTCTGGGTACAGCAAAAGCACGTAGCGATACAGGCTAACGAGCACCTACAGTGCGAAATTCGACCGAGATAGGCTAGATGGGCAGGCCAACAATGTAATTATGTCAGACGCAAGGGAAGAAGACCCGAAAACCTATACGTTCCTACTTGTAATGAAGACATCTAGTCCGGGAAAACGGCATCTCTACTAAACTAACTGCCGGCTACCCGGCACGTCGACACGATGTCGGCAGCAGAACAGCCTTCAGCAAGGATTGGCTATGAAACGAGCGGGCCCCTGTGTGATGAATTAACAGTCGTCGACAAGCAGCAGCAGCGTTACTAGGTCTGGCACGCTAAAACTCAAAAAGCCACATGGTGACCGTGAGTCGCAATTAACAAGTTTGCTTGCCACCGCTGCCTTGTGCTAAGGCTCTTGAGTCAAACAATTCAAGCCGTAGTTGGGTACCCAGCTGCACTCACGTTTCCTAAGAAATCTCATGAAGTATGTCCGACTGCAGTATAACGACTCATGCTGTGGCGTCTGCTGAAACCGAGGCGCTCAAAAACCCTGGTCCGCTACTGTGGGCGAATAGTACGCGAGCCGAGCTACTTAACTGGGAACAAATCCCATGTGTAAGATGCTGGAATGTGAGGACGTTCCTGGATCCCGGTACTCAAAGTCGGACCGCGAGCAGCCCTTATCAGTACAACATGGATGTCTGCTGACTGCCTGAATTTCGACTTACTGTCTCAGACTCTCGGGAAATAAAGACCCAGGAAGACAACTCACACTTCATTTTGTGCCACAGTAGCCCACACGACTCTTCTGATGGACACAGTGTGGCGCTCGCCTCTCACGACAGGCGGACCTCGCTTTACTTGTTTGGGAGCCAGTAAATGACCGCATGGCCCGAGACTGCAGGGTCACTTTACGAACATCCCGATTGCCTCTGTGTACGCACTAACTTCAGCTGCCGAAAAGCACAATAAAGGGAAGTTTCGGGCGCAGCTGCATGCGTTAGTTGGAAGGCTCCTTCGCCCCGACCTGCTGATTGTTGCCGGCGATTGAAATGGTGGGACTGGACCTGGCGACTCCCCAAACAGTCATCTCACTAGCCTCCTTTGGCTTGGCTCTTGTTGTGGAAATGGCGTGGTTTCTGAACTTCGCTGATCAGATTAGACTGCTTGTCAGCAATACGTGCTTCTAGGATCGCAGTAAACATTTGCTGATCTGATACTCAAACGACGATCATACGACCAGTCAGAGTGACCGCATTCTAGTCAACTCAAGATTCCCCAGCTGGGTTTATGGTAGCAGATCGATGCGTGATGCCGTGACTGGTAACGCCGATTAGTCGGACTCTGTCGCCATTCGTAAGCGCTTGAAAGATCACCCATGATCAGCGTCAAAAATGTCACGTCCTAGACGCCTTGGTGTCACAAAAATCCGCTAACCCAGCACTGTCGAGCCCCTGGACTGAGAAATCAGACTCGGGTTTATGACCCCAGCCGATGGAGCATGCATTAACCAGTGCTCGTTACTGAAAACACCAGACCACGGGACAGTTGAGAAGATTCTTGGATGTACCCAGCGACACCGCAGTGACTGGATCAGCGCAAGGACTCTACAGGTGTCTGCCTAGGCGAATGGATCCAGGTTCCGTAATGATGATTACCTTCGCCAAATTCGGAAAATGACAGCAAAGTCCGACAGGGATAACCGGAAGTTTAGGCTGAAATAGCGACCTCGAACGTTGGTGACACTCGAAATTTCTACGAACTCCTCCGTCCAGTTAGCCGTCTGCACCTGGTGACTCTGTTCGAGACGTCAATGATGGATCCATTGCTGATAACTCGGCCAAAGTTGAGCGCTGGTGTGGACATTGCGAGCATCATCTCAACTTCGATGCCCAAGTCACCGTTCCCTTGTTCTCCTCTGCAGCGGAGCTTCTTCCCTCCCCAACCTGTTAAGTGTCATGCAAACCCTCTTCTAAAGTAGCCGCTGATGCCATACAAAGGCTACGCACCATAAAAATCCTGTAAAAGGACATTACCACTGAAATCTAAAACCTTGTACTCACACCCTGGCTCTATGAGATGGTTCAATGAACACGGGAACTAGGTTCCTCCAGAAGGCTGGTGTGGGAACCTAGATGCGGGAACTACAGCGGCATAAGCTCCATTCGACGTTGCTGCAAAGATCTTCGCTCTTCTCCTGCTCAGGGGATTCCAGGTTGCGCGTATCTTTGGAACGAGGCACAACCAAGCCGGACTATTTGCCGGATGTGGATTTGAGGACCAGGTAAGCACACTGAGGAGCAACAACCGTGACTGCCACCGCGTTCTATTTCGTATATCGTCAGCCCATCTGGCAAGTAATGGTATTAGATGATGTAGCGCCAAAAATTGTCGCCCTGATCAAGGCCTATTACCGCTCCACTACTGCGAGAGTTCTGGTCAATAACAATCTTACCCAAGTGTTCGGTATTTGGTTTGGCATTTAAAAAGGTTGTCCGCTGTCGCCCAACTACGCTATTGACCAGACTCTCGAGGGGTGCCTAAACAAAACGACCCGGACACTGGCTGACTGGTCTAGACTATGCTGATTATGTCGATTTTTTAACTTCAGGTTTTGGCAATCTACAGTCTATGACAAACGGGTCGCTAAATTGACTGGTTTACCCATAAAACTTGGGAATACAGAAATTTATTTAATTGATCTCTGATGAGTTCCAGACCCAGCACGTTAAAATGGACACTCGATTCCGAGACGGACATCAGTCAAGTTGCTTGGACCCCATAATCACTAGGGATGATAGCTGCATACTCGGATTGGACTCGCACACGCCCCCTGGCCGAAGTGACCACTGCGTTCTTGTTTGGGAGTATAGTCATTTTTCTGCACCCAGAATTCGAGCTGCTGAGGAAAGAAATGTATGGAAAGGGGATTACTCCTGAATGAAAACTCTGCTGCATATGGTGAATTGGAATGCTGCACAAGCACCTGACCAAGAAAACTATTAGCTCTTCTTCAAGAACGTAATTCAGCACTTTGTAGAGATCTGTAGCCCACTTACGAGGAAATCGAGCACCTCCCGACCACAGTGGGTGACGTCGGGAATAAAGAACCTTAGATTCAAAAGAAAACTTTGAAAACGTAAGCCAGATTTCAACAACCAGATCACTTTACTGATTAAAAAAACAGAGAAATACGTCGGAATCTGCAGAGGAGTGAATAGACAGAATTTAAGTCAAGAATACTCAAAAATATCTCACGAAATCCCAAAAATTTCTTTGGTAATGTAAGGCGAAACACCGCAGGGACCGCATTCCTTGTCTAAAAGATTGCTGAGGAAATAAATTGTCTGATAATTCAGACAAGGCGAACCTGTTATCCGATTCCTTCACGCCAGCTACACCCCACTAATTCACCTAGCCATAACGGCGTACTCACAAAAGTCCTAACTGAACTCTCAGACCCACTATTCTCTCCGTATCCAAGATCTCAAAAACCTCGATGGAGGCTGAGGCTCTGCCTACCGACTGGAAGCAGGCCAACATAAGCCCAATAAGCGTGGCGAGAGAACAGCCCAAAATAATTTTAGACAAATGAGTCTCACATACGTCTGTTGCAAACTGATGAAGAGGGTAATAAGAACCGAGCCGGTGCGGCATCTTGAAGAAAACCACTTGCACAGTTTGCATCAGCATGGATTTAGAAAGGGTCGATCTCGTCTCACAAACCTGCTGGTATCTATAGAGACCTGGACTAAATCAATCAAAATGGGGTTTTCATCAGTCGACGCGGCGTACAATGACTTCAGAAAGGCTTTTGACAATGTTCCACACAGACGACTTATATCTAAACCACGTCAAACGGGCATAAATTGGAATCTTCTAAAATGGTAAGCCAATTTTCTTAAAGGCAGATCTCAGCGTGTTTGTATCGGCAACGCTAAATCGAAATGAGCATCTGTTCACAGTGACGTTCCGAAGGGGAACGTTCTGGGTCCAATTCTCTTAATATATATATATATATATATATATATATATATATATGAACGACTGCCTGAAGCGTCTGAACTACGAGCGCGTAATGTTTGCCGATGATTTCAGGTTGTGGAAGTCAATAGAGAAGCCGGAAGGCTCGCTACAGTTACAAAACGGCCTGAATCGCTTGCAACAATGGTGTGCTGATTGATGCCTTAACCTCAACTTTAACATGCGCAAAATTATCCCATTACGATCGAGCAACAGGAGGCTGTTGAGATTTGAATTGCACTTCTTAATGCGTCACGAACTCGAATCCCTCAACGAGTTAAGAGACCCCGGTGTGTGGATGACGTCAACTCTTAAACCATCGCCTCACTGTCCCAAGGTACCGAAAAGGCCACGGCCACTCTAGGCGCAATTAGAAGATCCTTCCTCAATCTTGATGAAGAACTTTTCGGCTGAGTATTTGGAACATTTGTTCGGCCAATGCTGAAATGTTGCGTTAGGGCATGGTGTCCCTAATGAAACAAGATTACACCCTGTTGGAGAACTTACAAGGAAAAGCAACCAAACTGGTCGGCGGATAAAGTTGCTTACCTTATGATAGACGCCTGAAAAGGCTAAAAATATTTCTTCTCTTATAGACAATACAGAGAGGACATTATCAGGGCCTTTAGGATCGTCAGAGGGCAGACTGTGCTCTTCAGTTTGATTATTTTTTTTTTTGGAACTGGCGCGAATGACCAATCCCCGAGGCTACCAATACAATTTGACGATAAAGTATGACAAACTTGAAGTGCGGGCCAAATTCTTATCCCACGGGCTGGTTGAAGGGTGGACCGAATTGTCGAATCCGTTGTCTTGGCGGAAAACGTTGAGACCTTCAAAAAAAAAGAATTGGTAAATTTATGGTTGATAGTCAAATATTTATTCGATACCAATGACTGGCAAAACTGTTACGTAAATATGTACATGATTTTCAGCCTTCTATCTGTAGATAGGATTTTCCAAGGTTCTGTCTATCTCCCTTATATAATTATATATACTGAACTACGACCAGTGTTTTCAAGCTGCATTCCTGACCAAGAGGTGTCTGTCGAGACTAATGGGTCTAATCTAGCCACATTTCAGGCTACCACAAACGACCACACGTCTATGGTCTCACCTACCTTGGCTCGGTACGTTTTGTTATGGCTTGACTTGCTTCACATGGATCGCCGTGACGTTCCAGGCCTAATTTTGGCCTTCGCCTCACACACACCAGTAACATCTGCAGTCGTAAACATGGACGGGGAAACACTAATAGCAGCGACTGCGGCCCCAGTGGCCTTTGCAGCGACAGATATGCGTAGATGATACATTACAGAAAGATACCAATCTGACAACCGCGATTATGATGGAGTTCAAAATACTAATGGCTACGTTTACCGACGTTTCTGCACGGAAAGACCTATCCGCATAGGTAATCCGCCACGTCGGGGGCACGCACGCGACTACCATGTCATATCCCACACAATGTCAAGAGGCCAATAATCTCACCGATGAAATGCTCATAACAGGCCGTCCTTCGACATTCAGTGTCACAGTGAGACTCCGCAGTTTACTAGCTCCGGAAAATGGCTGAAAACTACTGTCTTGGATCGATTACCGCCAGTCAAATCCTATTACAACACGAGACTTCTTCACTTTGTCCCACACAGAGGCGACACTCGATGCCATAGCCGGTCTAAGGTGGTTTCCTACAATCGATCTCATATCAAGATTTAGATCAATTGAGTTGGAAGCCAAGGATCAACCTCAAACTGCTTTCGACCTGTCACAAGGTCTATTTGAGTTTAAAATCATGGCACACGGCTGCCACATCAGACGACTTACGCTAGTGTTCTTCGCTCTCATATATCCACGATGATGCATAACTTTTCCAGATGTTAATGTACATGACTGCACAACATAATGAAAAGCTGCAAGCGGTCACAAATGCGCTACGTGGAGCAGATTTGTCGCCAAACCAAAAGAAACCCAACGATCTAAGAAGTCAGTGCAAGGGTTTTACAGTGCCTTGCGCAAATCACATGCACGTAGGACAAACCAGTAACCACTAAGCCGCTCTGAGATGCATTTTCATATCGGACAAGGATTTCCTCAATCCTCTTATGACAAGTGAAAGACCACGATGAGGAGACATTAGCCATGAGCTCAGGGTCAGTGAGGAATCCGATCAGTTGTGCATATTTATGTCATACGCCAGCGGGCAAGACAACAAACATGCCTTTCTAACTAGCTTATGGAAACTGATAAAAGAACACAATTGCTAGAAATTGCAAATGCAGCGTTAAAAACCTGCGCAAGATGCATCAAGAGAGCTAAGGCACTTCGCACGTGCGACGATAAAACAAAAAACCCACGAAACACATCGACGTAGTAATATCCTAATATCAAGCTTTCACTAAATTCCCCTGAGTGCGCTATACATCACTCATTCAAGTGAACTTGGAGCCACAATATAGTACCTGCCGAGAGTATACTGGCGGCAAACACCCGAGAAGGCACAAGCCTGGAAAATATCAACCCGCCCACCACGTGCGCAATCTGCCGACTGCCACTTTAACTTAACAAAACTTGCCTTGGCGCAAGATAAAATGTGGTTCATATTCTAGAATGCATGTACACCCTAATATTTTGCTGCACTTGAGCAAGAATGTGTGCTTCTTTGATGCTTGGACTAAAATATGGATTTCTTCATAGATTATGCAGGACAGCATGAACTCAGGTTTGCCATTATAATAATCTCAGGACTCAGGAGAGCAGATATAAGAATCCTGGTGCAGAATATTCTGGGAACACATTCTTATGTTCATATCTGCCCCGTCGGACGGGGACAGGCAGCAGACGAAAGCCTCTGAATTAATTCGCACTAATGAATTCGAAATTTTCCAAATACTCGACAGGAACTTAAGTCTTATCCACATCATTGGAACGCAAAGTCCTCGCAAAAAGTTGACTAAGACACATTCGTGATGAGGGGGTTGAAGATCAAGAGGCGGTTAATAGTCGCAAGTAGAGAAATCTTTGCAATTTCCGAGTGTGGAATGGGATTTAAATAATTCTGAACTGTCTGACAACATTCAGCGAAGATCTGCCGCGGCGGCGTATCCAATTTATGCACAAAGCGATTAAGCGGAAATACTGACAGAAGTCAAAAAGTTGGTCCTAATATTCAGGCATCATTTTCTTCCTGGAATCTTTACTTCCACAGTGAACAGGATTTCATTACAGGTTATGCGTCTGCCTAATTAATCAGTCTTCCCAAACGTCAACAGTCGAACATTCCCTAGGTTTAGGATAAGATATTCGGTCTACACGTACCAGACAAGAACATAAAATTGACGCCGACTCACTGTTATCTCGACCTGACCGTAAGTCGACTTATAAAGTTATCCGTAATTAATACATTCTATCGTCGGTTCAATTTACGATGGAAAAAGAATTCTCCACTGCCTTCTGTGATCCTAAGCTTCCTAATTCTACCACTTATGCAATAACTAGTCAAGTCCCCTTTTAACCGTACAGTGACTTATCCTTTTTTAAAAACTCTCCTGGTCCGAGCTATTGCTAGTTTTGTCCTTGAAATCCGTCATTCAATTATTCATGTTGTAAATATGCTCAGATATAACGCCTAATGCGTGAAAAATTATTCTTCTTCCGTTGACTTGCTTGGACAGCCAATGGTGGCCGAGACAGCGAACACCATTAGCGAAAATCTTCTCTGTTCAGGTTATTGCTTCAATGGAACGAAGAACTAACTCATTCTTATAAATCTATTCTTATAATAGTAATAATAATTTTTCATTCAAAACCCATAGGTGTCCGATCATAGCAAGTAAGAGTAAATTTTTACCTGAATTTTAGAACAGGTAGACAGTATCCATACGATACTAAATTCACAGATTTTGAATAAGTATCCTATTATGAAGAATAATGGGCGTTGATGAAAAAAAACTCCCCACAAATAAACATAACTAGCATAGCATATCTAGCAGCTGGTTTGCCACAATACGAGCTACCAAAATGCAGCTTATATTTCCTCGTGAATATCAGATCAGTACATATCATAATTATTCCTACTGAATCAAGGCTTTCTCTAACGAAATCAAGAAATAGGAAGTCAATCACACGAGTATTCGTCGTAAACCTCTCCCTATCGTTTGCGGCTCCGACTGACGCAATCTAAGTAAATGATCCAAAATTGCGGCACTCAGTTCATAAATGCACTCATATCTGCGGAAAGAAATTCTTTTATGAATTACTCAAGAGTCAAAAAGTATTGTACATAAAGAAGCGATTATAAAGGGGACTTTTCGAATCCTAACTTCTGAATTTTCGTCAATTCAAGCAGAAGATATGTTGTGAACAAGCGGGGTGAGTGCGTATAATAATAATAATAATAATAATAATAATAATAATTTGTATTTAATGCCAGTTTGCAGGCATTCTCAGGGAGGCGTTAGAAACAAATCCAACTATTCTTATCAGGGGAAATACTATGTTGGAAGGAGAGGACTGAAGACATCAGAACGAGGAGTTTAATGTATGCACAACCCGGAGTTGTCTTCTAAGGCGGCACTAAAAGAGTACAATATTGAAGGTCACTCCATAAATGTGCCCAGGGTTATAAAAGATCTGGGCATATCATACTCCAAGAGTACAGTTCCGTTTAGGGGTACGACGCCTTCTCTTAGATCTAACAAGTCTGTTCAGCCCAGCATGTCTACAAACCCCGCAGCTCCAATTATATCCTCGAATAATTCTCTGTCCTGCGTACCGGTTACTTATCAAAGCCCTACTATATATCCAGCAAATAATTCATACATGAATTACCCTAAATCATTTATGCCCCAACCTAGTTCAGGCTTCCCAAAACCTAAGGCCAATAGCTCTCAGGTACGTCAACCTATCTCCTTTGACTTCCAACCTTGACCTGGTTTCCCACCATTTCATTCTTTTAGTGGCCTAACCTCACCCATTAGCCCCTTCTTTCCTTCTAGCCTCCCTCCTCCTCCCCTTCCTCCATTATTTAACTACCAACAAGTCTATCCATGTTCAAACTCACCTAGCATTCCAATGTTTGAAAACTATATCCCCACATCATTTAGGTCTCATAATCAGCCTTCTCTTCCTGTCTCCCCGTACGTCAATAACTCTAAATTAACTGGTACTTATTCTCCAAGTGTCATTAATTCGCAGCTTACATATCCGCCTTCAAATTTTTTTTAAATACCGTCGAAAATAGCATTGCCGTTCGAAACACATTAGATATTATATTATTGAATGCCAGGTCTGTTATAAACAAGATGGCCCAAATCAGAGCCATTGCTCTGGAAATGACGCCTGATATTATATGTGTAACAGAATCTTGGACACATTCTCTAATTCCTGACTCTGCCCTTCTCATAGATGACTTCGATTTTTACCGCCAAGACCGCACGACTAGGCGTGGGGGTGGTTGTCTTCTCTATCTTAAATCCTACCTAAAGCACTCTCCCTATTACTTGGATGTTTCCTCATTCAGGGGAAACTTCTGCTTTGCATCTGTTATTCTCTCGCCGCAAAGAAAGGCAATTATTGACTGTATCTACAATCCCCCAAATTCTTTAGCCAGTGATGATTCTCAACTCTGTGAAATCTTTAAATTAATTTCGGAAGCTGCTTTCGATGTTAAAATAATCACTGGGGATTTTAACCTTCCTGAAATAGACTGGGTTTCCAATAGCTGCCCACCCAGATTCCAGCCCTTTCAAGATATTATTAATTTTTCTTATTGGTCCCAACTGGTGCGCTCTCCAACAAGAGATAATCACATTTTAGATCTAATCTTTACCAATGACATTGCTCCTCTTTCTGTTGCTTTAAAAAAGGACCTCTTTGACAGTGACCACGTATAAATTCATTGTTGCCTACCGCTTGCCTTTTCAAAAAAGACAAGCGCCGTTCAGACTTTCATGAACTACGACTGCGTAGATAGCGACGTAATAAATAACTATATGAGATCCTTGGATTGGTGTGGCTTCCTCTCTTGTAGCGATGTAACCATTGTTCGTGATGTCATGTCCAATGTTTCCAAGGACATTCTAGAGTTTGTGCCGCGAAGATATCTCAAGCCTGATTTTTCAGATTCCCTTGTTCCTCATTTCCTTCAGAACAGACTAAAAATGTTGAGGCTACAACTGCGTGACCCATTCACTAGTTCCTTATCAGTTCATCTTAGAATCACAGAGATTTTTGAGATGGCCTCAAGGATGCGCCAAGCGCGCGACAGGCAAAGAGAATCAATTGCTCTCAGTGGTTCGAACCCTGGCAAATCCGTCGCTAACATCTTCCGTCATCGGTCCTCCTCTAAGCGGGGTCATGAACTTCCACCCATGCTAAATGATAACAAAGTCTTCCTCACCGATGACACTGACAAGGCGGAGTTGTTTAGTGCTTTCTTTGCAAAACACCTTGCTACCGAGTTCGATCCGGTCCCTTTCTTTCGATCACTTTCAGATAGGACACTTAGTACAATTGACGTCTCCTCAGATCTCATTAAGAAACACATAAGCCGATTGAAATACTCACACTGCACAGGAACGGACGAAATTCCGAATTCGATTATTAAACAAGCGTCCGACTTTCCCATATTGATCAGTCATTTATTCTCGGTTTATATTTCAAATGGATTCTTTCCTGAAACATGGAAAACGTCAATTATCATTCCCGTTTTCAAGTCAGGATATCGGTCCGATGTTAATAACTATCGGGCCGTGCACAAAACGCCGTCTCTAGCAAAACATCTTGAAAGGATTATTTTCAATGAAATTCTTGACTTCTGTCTAGCTAATCGGCTTCTGAGCTCTAGTCAGCATGGGTTTTTACCTGAACGATCCTGCGAAACATGTCACTTGGCTTTTCTTAATCTAATCACTTCTCTTCGTAATGAGCGCAGTCAGTGGTAGTTATTTACTTTGATCTTAGCAAAGCCTTTGACAAGGTGCCCCATAGACATCTTTTGGTAAAATTGGAAGCTCTCGGCATCCGGATGCCTCTACTCGACTTCCTCAGGTCCTATCTGTCCAACCGATATCAGAAAGTCGTGGTCGGTAATAGCTACTCGACACCCCACTCGATCACGAGTGGCGTACTTCAAGGCACGGTTCTGGGTCCGCTAATCTTCCTTCTGTACATCAATGATATTTCGACTGAACTCGGAAATTCGCAAACGTTTACTTATGCCGATGACCTCAAGTGTGTTTACTCATTTTCTAAGGACACCGCAAATGTTTGTGTTTAAAAAATTAATGGCGATTTACTACGCTTAAGCAGATGGGGTTCGACATGGCAGATGGAGTTTTCATCATCCAAGTGTAGTTTCATGTCTTTTGGTCCTACCAAACTTCCTGGTCCCATAATTTTTCAGAATAACCCACTCTCAGAATGCCTCACCATAAAGGGCGTAGGTCTAAGTTATACAAATAAACTTGCTTTATCACCTCATGCAGATAGAATCTCCGCCAAAGCCGAGCAGATATGTGGATTCATATCGCATAATTTTTTCCTTCCGGAAATGAAGCTAAGACTTTATCAAATGTTTGTTCTTCCAGTCCTCGAATATTGCTGTCCTTTCTTCGGTTTAATGAACGCCTGCGACCGTAATAAAATCGAAAATGTTCAGAGGGTTTTCACTCGGAATCTGTTCTCTCAAGCTTCGTCCAGTATTTCTTATACTCAGAGATGTCAGCTGGCGAACATGAAGTTTTTGTGGGTTAGAAGACTCGAAGCTGGCCTTTGCTTCCTTTTTCGCATCAACTCTAGCTCCAGTCTTCCGCACATTGACACTCTCACTCCGAGAGATCGGTCTTATGCCACGCGCAACTCCTGCAGGGTGATTCCGCCGCCTCTTTGTACTACATCTAAGCGCTCCCTCTTCTTTGCTTCCAAATATGCCTTCCTTTGGAATAATCTTCCGCCTGAAATTAGATTATCGCCTAGGTTACTGATATTAAAGTCGAAATTACGCAACCATCGTACACCGGAAAGCATAAAGGCACTGTTAACGGTCTCATTCCCGAACACTCCGATTCTTGACTTCGAGAATGGTCCTCCTGGGATTTAGTGGTAGATTAAGTGGTAACTCTTAATTATATCATTAGAAACCCCTGTTTTGAATTGGTTTCTAAATCCATCGCTATCCGCCCCCCCCCCCCATAGCGAGAATTTTCGCGGTCTTTGATGTCATATCCCGCATTCCGACCTCATGCGGTCTGTCGACGCTCACGGCGGAACCCTCAGTATTCACTGTCTACTAGTAGTTCGGTCGTACCTCCCTTCCTCACTGCTCGGCTGAGCTCGAAGCGTGCTGTGGCCGATCGCATCTCGGTTCCTCTCGTCTGGCCTCTTTGACGTGGCGTACCAATCAGGCCCAGACGATTTCAATTGTGAATCCCGTGTACAATGCCATTTGCAAGCCAGTCCTGTCTGACGCACATTCGTACCCATCAAGGCGGACATTTATTGATATCCTGACGATGACCGACAACATTCCGTTATATAGCCCGCCATCTCTCCAGGAGACCATCAGGGCCGTGCAGCAACTCTCCAGCGGGAAAGCACCCGGATCGGACGCAATCCCTGCTGAGGTCTACAAGCACGGAGGTCCCCTACTTATGGATCACCTGACTGCGCTCTTCCAGGAGATGTGGCGTCGAGGCGAAGTCCCGCAAGATTTCAAGGACGCAACTATCGTGCACCTATACAAGCGCAAAGGGAATCGCCAAGTCTGCGACTACCACCGCGGCATCTCCCTACTGAACATCGCCGGGAAGATCTTCGCTCGCATCCTGCTCAACCGCCTCAACAACCATCTGGAACAGGGCCATCTGCCGGAAAGTCAATGCGGCTTCCGCCGTCATCGTGGGACCACGGATATGATCTTTGCCGCCCGTCAACTTCAGGAGAAGTGCCAGGAGATGCGGACCCACCTGTACTCTACCTTCGTGGACCTGACGAAAGCCTTCGACACGGTGAATCGTGAAGGACTGTGGAAGATCATGCAGAAATTCGGCTGTCCGGAGCGATTCACTCAGATGGTGCGTCAGCTGCACGACGGCATGATGGCGCGAGTCACGGACAACGGTGCTGTCTCAGAGGCATTCGCAGTGACCAACGGAATGAAGCAGGGATGCGTGCTGGCACCAACCCTCTTCAGTCTTATGTTCTCTGCCATGCTGATGGACGCCTACCGCGACGAACGCCCTGGAATCCGCATCGCCTACAGAACGGACGGTCATCTCCTGAATCGCCGGCGCATGAACTTCCAATCGCGCGTATCCACAACTAACGTGCACGAACTCCTCTTCGCCGACGACTGCGCCCTGAACACCACCTCCGAAGCGGAGATGCAACGGAGCATGGACCTATTCTCCGCCGCCTGCGAGAACTTTGGGCTGGTCATCAACACACAGAAGACGGTGGTGATGCACCAACCGCCGCCCAACTCAGCCGCAGCCCCCAACGCGCCGCAAATCAACGTGAATGGGACCCAACTGCAGGTGGTAGAGAACTTCCCGTATCTGGGCAGTACCCTCTCCCACAACACCAGGATTGATGACGAAGTCGCCAACAGGATCTCGAAAGCCAGTCAAGCCTTCGGTCGTCTCCGAAGCACAGTTTGGAATCGCCACGGTCTCCAACTGAGCACGAAGCTGAAGATGTACAAGGCCGTCATCCTGCCGACGTTACTG